ACTACCAAGACCTCCCTCTCACCGCTGAACTCCAGGATCTGCTAGAATCAGCCCCCTAAGTATCAGATAAAACCCTTTCCAATCTTATAATTAGAATTCACAATATGTGTACAGTATCCTGATTTCGGTTTTCGTGGTTTCCCTAAATTATATTCTCCACCTTATAGGTACTTGAACTTGTCCATTTAAGAGGTTGGAAATAGCAAAATTGGCGATATTTTCGGGGAATACAACCTGTCACAGAGGTCTCACACGCGCACACGACAACTTATAAAAATAGGTTACTTATTGTAATCAGAGCAAACCACCCTGAAAAAGAGGATAACTCCTATAGCAGGGTATTAGGAAAATACAATGTCCTAGAAAGAGTAATGAAAAAGTCAATATTGAACTAAAAAAACTATACGTAAAGTATCAAAAATCAATTGTTCGCATCAATAGAGCTAGTTGAAAAAATGCTGTGCCTCCAATCTTGATTTTAAATAAGTAAATACAAATTTCAAAAACTTTGTAAAATAGAAAAATAGAAAAATTCGGAAATAACTAAATTATTTAATTCTTAACGTTTAAAACTTTTAAAGAGTCCTTATAATGAATATATAAAAAAAGTATCCTCTAATATAGCTATCAACCACAAATTATCTACTTAAAAAGAATTAAAATATAAAACTAAACATCAATAAAATAGAGATGCAGTCTCTGAGGTGCATATATTATCACTATCTTGTAATAAAATTCAAATTAGAAGCACCTGTGTCAACTTAAATACCTATTTCAAATAGTTAACAGTAAAAAAGATGAAATGAGGTTGTAAAAGTCAATTTTGAAAAATAAAATATTACTAGGAATTTATTAAAATAAGAAATGCAATGGACTAAAAAAAAAGAGGAAATAGCTATTTTTGTATTACGAGCGAAAAGTGATATTTTGCCGCTTGAGACAAACAGCAAAAAACTTTTTGCTCAAAACGCACACAAGATTTTTTCTACGTTCACACTCTTTTAAGAAACAGATATAAAAACTGAAAATTTGTTTTAAGTAGTGGACAGTCTGTTCGCTATACTTACGCGGGTTTCGGATTAACAAAATTATGCTAATTAGTCATTAACAACCAGTTCCATAAGCCTTTCCCCAAGAAATTAGGTAAAATTGCCCTGATGGTCAGATTTAAATTAAAATAACATTAGAGTAGGTACTAAATTTGTTACAAATATTGAAGTTGAATTGATTCTTTACAAGTGTTGACATTGAATGTATATTGTAAATTTTGTGGAAATTTTAAAAATGCCTAGACGTGTGTTAGATTTAGATAGTCTAATTTGTAGTGTACATAAGTATTTTACGGACGAAAAGGAAAATGGCGGTCCTTTAAAATCGGTAATGTCTGTACAACAACACGTATGCGATGCTCTACGTATTAGTGAAACCAAATTAAGAGGAGTATTACAAAATCACAATAGTGAACTGCCGAAAGAAGATCACCGCAAAACTCGCCCATCATTGAAAACGAAAGATATTCCAGATGGAAACAAATTTGAAATTCGTGATACCATTTATCGAATGAGGGCCAACAAGGAACATGTGACCTTAAATACAATTCTGTCGAAATTAATAGATAGAAAATTTGACGACATTGGTAGAACAAGTCTATGGCAAGTGATACATAACTTGGGTTTCAAATTACAAAAGGAGGATAACAGAAGGGCCCTTTGTGAAAGAAGTTCTGTCGTGCACAAGAGAATTAACTTTCTAAGAAAATGTTCTAAATTTAAAGAAGAAGGGACGAACTTTATATATTTAGACAAAACATGGATATTTTCTAGGGGTGCAACCAAGAGAATATGGCAAGATGATAACGTAAAGTCCATTAAACATACCGATGGAGAAGGGAAGCGACACATAATTTTACATGCAGGAGAGAAATCGGGTTTTATAGAAGGTGTTGATTTAATATTTTCATATAAATCAAAATCCAGTGACTATCACGATAATATGAACACAGAAATTTTTGTAAAATGGTTGCATGAAAAACTTCTCCCAGGTTTAAGTGAGCCCAGCGTAATTATTTTAGACAATGCACCTTACCATTCTGAAGTATTAAACAAAAGTCCAACGAATTCTTGGACTGTTGATAAAATTAAAGAATGGTTGACAAAGGAACATATACCATTTCCTCAATATATAATAAAATCAGAATTATTACGCTTGACAAATATACACGCAAAAGCAAAAACCTTTGTTGTGGATCAGATTATTGAAAGTTATGGTCAAATATACAATACAAATAGGCACTTACGACAATACTCGAGCCATATAAACCTGTAATCCGATCATAATTTTTCTACATCCTACTTAGACCTACCGTATAATCAACTTCTTTGTACCTGAATAAAGTATAACCCTGTATGTGGACTTATAATATTTTTTTGATGAACAACTCACAAGGTAATTATTTTCTATTCTTTGGCAACAATTTCAACATTTTGTTGACTTTTTTATCTTACATATTCAACCGCAATCACCCTGTAAGTACGAAATTTTTTTCTGTTTCCAAATAATACAAGGGTTATATTCCTAATCTAAACAATGTGTGTCAAAATATTTAATATAAGATATTTCTTTTGAAAATATCTACTTATGTCAGTATATATTTATTGTTTAAAATTCATTTATTTGGTATCTACTTGTTATATTTTGTTAACCAATAGAACAATATTATGGTAACTTAAGAAGCATTGCTCGAAAAGCTTTACTTGCTTTCCTTGTTAAACTAAGACATGGATTGTCAGATGAGTTCCCAATCTGATATAAATATACATAAAGAGGCAATATAAGGAGCCAATGCTCCAGTCAAAATAAATATGTAATCCGATCATTATTCATTTCCCTAAATCCTACTTAGACCTACCGTATAACGAACTTTTTTTATAATGAAATAATGTAAACTCTGTATGTGAACTAATAAGATTATTTTGATAAACAACTCCCGAGTTAAAAGGCAATTATTTTCTATTTTTTGCCAATAATTTCAACATTTTATTGATTTTTTCACCTTACATATTCAACCGTAATCACTGTAACTAGGAAATAATTTTGGCTGTTCTCAAATAGTACAAAGGGTATATTTCTAATCCAACACAGTGTCTCAAATTATCTAATATACAGTATATCTCTGAAACATATCTACTTATGCCAGTATTTTTTTTTTTGTTTAAAATTCATATATTTGGTACATATTAGGTTCAGGGTTACCAGGTTTTTGAAAGAGATGACGGACAGACAGGGAATTTTAGGGGAAATAGGGGGAAGTAAAAATAACTCTGTCTATTTTAATTTTTTTAATCAAAATTACTTATTTTGTAAAAAATCAGTACCTATTTTTTGGTAAAGATAGACGAGGTGTTTCAAATAATAAGGTGAAAATGTTTTCTGACTTTGGATTTCGATTTGCGATTTCTCGATTTTCTAACTTTACATTTTCACCTTATTATTTGTAAAATCACCTCAGTGAATCTTTACCAATATTAGGTAAGGATTTCTTGCAAAATAAGTAATTTTGATTAAAAGAGTAAAAATAGACTGAGTTGTTTTTACTTCCCCCTATTTCCCCTAAAATCCTCTGTCTGTCCGTCATCTCTTTCAAAAACCTGGTAACCCTGATTAGGTTATATTTGGAAAACTAGTCATAGGATGTAATTTTACTAATAAGAATTTTGAACGAGTACATCGAGTACTATACTATATCAAATATTGAGAAACTTTGACGGTGACATATTTTTTTTTGGTATTTCAGCTATTTTTGTTCGGTGGAAATACCTACTTTGACCAAAAAAGATCTGCCGAATCATTAATCACCCTGTAAGGGACAATATTTTAATTAAAGTAGTTAAGTATGTATTTTGACTATACAGAATGAGCAAATAACTTCCTAATATATTTAAGGGTGATTTATGGTGTCCATTTTAAAGAATTAGGGATTTCTAACTTCAACACCTTGTATCTCAAAATCTAGTCATAGGATACGATTGGGCCCATTGACACTTTTGATGGGGACATCAAGTAATTTAACATATAAAAAATTTAGACATTTTGACGGTACTCCCGTTTGCATAAGAAAAGTGCGTGGTGCTTTTTGGATCCGCAAATTTTCAGCCAGACTGACTTTCCTCCCGTTAGAAAATGTAAGACTGTTATTTCCATTAATAAAATAATTGACTTTAATAAATGTCAAATATATATGACTGGGAAAATTAGTGGACTGGTTTTTTTTTTCTAATGAACCCATCCAAAAACTTTAGACAGAATCACAAATTGTCGTTTTGTGTCACTATCCGAACAAACAATGTCACATTTACCGACTGCGAAATTAAGTATAAAAAAAATTCACTGCCTCCTGGACTATACGTTTTGTATGTTTTAGAATATATGATTTTCTTAATAATTGAAAACTTTACACAGTAATTTTATAGAAAGAAAACAAAAACAAATAAACAAAATTAATTTTAAATTTTGAAATAATAACTCAGAATGAAACAAATTTCATCTAATGTTTTACGTCAAATTTAATTAATTAACTAAATTAGAGAATGTATGGCTCATATGTTAAAAAAAATTAAATGTATTGAAATTATGTCAAATATATTGTATTATAAGTTAATCATAGTAATATTTAAGGTTGACTGGAAGAACAGCTTCTTTATAGGAACTAAACTGTTAGCTATAAAATACTGTTTCATCTAATTGTTAATATCTATTTTATGGTCAAAAAATCCAATTAATAAATCACCATATTTTAGGCCTGTTTATTTTATGGCCCCTAATAATTAAACACACTGTATATTTTAAACTATTATATTGATAATTTTAAAAAATATTTTCAAGAGTGTAGAAAATGTATGCCCTTCCAAAGTTTATTTAAACTTATCAATTCAAAAATATTTAGTTTTAAGAATTTATTAGAACACACATGAATTATTTTATGATAATGTAAATGTACTCACCAATTTATTTTTTCACAATCGCACTTTTCTCGAAAAAGTCGCGCCAAGAGTTATATTTAAAATTACGCGTCTGAATAAGTGCGAGAGAAAAGCTATTCAGAAGCTCTACCGCTACACTGGTGCTAGTTCAAATATCAAGATACAACTGATTGGTTCTTCAGCGAGAACGGCTATCACTTTCATTCATAAATAAACTCACGTCGTTCCCCATTACGGGGTGCTAAGCGCCTAAATGGAAGAGGGGTGTTCAAACAAAAAAGTATAAAACTTAATAAGAAAAGAATTAATATAATATTATGTCAAATAAATAAATTTAATATTCTTAAAAATAGTATCTTGTAGGTACCTAAATAATAAAAGTGAAAGTGGATAGGTTTATTATTTTATAAGTAGCATAGACGATATATTATCAAATTTTAATAATTCGAGTGGCGCTAAATTGGTGGTTCCCATCTTATTGAGACTGAGGCCCATACAGGTAAACTCGTAGCGTAAAAAAAACGAGAAAGGATTTGATTTGGAACGAAAGACCGAAAGCCGATAGTAGTATAAAGATATGTAAAGAAGTACATGTATTTTACAAGAATGTATTTATTTACAAAAAGAAAAACAAGACGGGCCGAACCCAAAAACAGTTTTCACGATTATTATAAATCTAAATCTAAGCATACAAAAAGTATTAGTGATTTATAGAGAGCGGAATATATGCAAAATGCATATATATGCATTTTTTGCATTTTTTGCATTTTTTGCATATTTTACCAAAGTTCAGAAAATATTGCATATTTTACCAAAGTTCAGAAAATTTAAGAAAATATTGCATATTTTCCAAAAAAAAAAAAAAAAAAATGTATTACTATACTGTGCAAATCAAAAACTGTTTTAACAGATTATACAGATATATTTGAAATAAAGACCTTTTAAATTTTGGTATTTGTTTTTAAGTGTCACTTCTTGTAAATTATTGTTAATTAGTTCTTGGAGGGTGGCATGCACTGGGTTTTTACTTTCTTAAGAGATTAAGCCCATTATGGTAATTGTTAATAGATGGTATTTACACAGATAAAGTATTACCTACAATGCAATAAAACGGTTTATATAAAATTCTCAGTAATTTCTTGTAACCAATCTACCCTAACATCGGAATATTTTGAATGTTTTTCATTCAGTTTAATGAGATAGTATCCTCGTTATTTGCCTAGTAAAAAGTCTTGTAATAATTTGTTGTTTTAAAAGTGTCCTAAAATGTCGAGAATTTATTCGTGAATTATTAACTTTCCAGAGTTGCAAATCAATGGGGATAAAGTTTTTTGTAAAGCTTGTGCCAAAATAGTGGTTTGCGAAAAAAAGTTCAAAGTGGTTCAACACGTGAAAACATCATTGCATAAAGCCAAATTGCAAAAAATGAAATCACAACCGGTTCAACAATGCGTTGTGAGGTCATTTCAAAACGACGACAAAACAAAAAGTGACAAGGAGGTATTTAATCAGGACTTGTGCAAAGCTCTTGTTGCGGCAAATATTCCATTAAAGAAATTACAAAACCTACATCTAAGAGAGTTTTTACAAAAATATTGCAATCAAACCATTCCTGACGAATCTACACTTAGAAAAAAAAAGTACATGCTATATATATAAATGTAATAGAAGAAATTAAAGTTTTACTGGATGATAGCAATTTTTACATCATTGTTGATGAAAGCACAGATGCTTGTGGAAGATATATGGTACATCTTATGATTGGAGCCTTAAAAGAAAATGAACCAGGTACATCATATTTAATTGCATCAAAACAGTTAGAAAAAACTAACAATACAACTGTTACCCGATTTATTCAACAATCTCTAGCAGAATTTTTTTTACCAAATCAAATTCCCTCAGAGAAGTTCTTAGTGTTTTTGTCTGACGCAGTACCATATATGATAAAAGTAGGGCAAAACTTAAAAATATTTTATCCAAATATGGTCCACGGAATAAACTTAGTTGCAGAAACTGTGAGAACAGAATATCCCTTGGTTAACAAGCTAATTTCGAATGTGAAAAAAATATTTTTAAAAGCCCCTTTAAGAGTGCAGTTGTATAAAGAGAGAATGGTAGGGGTGTGTTTGCCCCCGGAACCCGTAATTACGCGATGGGGGACATGGATTAAGGCAGCTATATTCTATTCAGAAAATTTTGAAGCAATTAAGGATTTAATTTTGGATATAGAAGACAATTCACAATGTGTAGTGCAAAGTAAAGAATTGTTAAAAAATCCCCTTATGCCTAAGCAACTTGTGTTTATAAAGGTTAATTTTAGTTTTTTACCTGATGTAATAACTTCATTGGAAAAGAAAAATTTAAGTTTAATCGAATCAACAAATTTTATTACAACAGTTTCCGATAAATGTAACAATGTTCCTGGTGACATAGGCCTTGAGATTAGAAAAAAATTAAATACAACTTTATTAAAGAATGAAGGGTTCAATGAAATAAGGGAAGTGAAAAACATTTTTGAGGGCAAATTTTTCAAAGAAGTTTTACGTTGGCCCTGTACATTACTTCCAAAATTACGGTATTATCCTATTACTTCGGTAGATGTTGAAAGGACCTTTTCTATATCAAAACATATTTTTACAGACAGAAGACAAAAATGTTTAATAGAAAATTTCGAAAAATATTTAATTATAAATTCCTATTATAATATTACTATTTAATATTTTTATACTATTCTATACTTAACTTCTACTAGTTTTTGTGTTTCGTTTGTTTTAAATAAATTTTTATATTACATATTTTCTTTTGTTTTTTTTTTTCGTGTAATGGCTTTGATAGCGTACCAAATTAGGAACAGCAATGTTAATTAAAACCCAACAGTGAATGGTCAAGTGGAAATATTCGCTAGGCATCAGAATTAATTTTTAAATAAATAAATTAATTTAAAAAATCGCGTCCCGGCAGGAATTTGAACCCGGGACCCCTAAGTCCACAGGCCAACGCACTAACCACTGAGCTACCCACCCCCTACTTTTTTTAAGTATTTTTAACAAATATGCATTTGCATATTTAGGCATAATTGGACAAAATAACTGCATATTTTTGGTAAAAACGATGCATATATATGCGCATATTTTGTTATATTTTGATGCATATATTCCGCCCTCTAGCTGATTAATAATGATATAAAGGTATATTAAATAAGATGGAAAAAATAAGAAATTAATACTTAATGTAAATGTGAAAGATAAAAATGTTTTAAATTATTGGTGAAAGTTATCAAAGAGTCAGAGAAAATGTCAATGTCAGTGAGAGTTGAGATTGAGTTAAACGATTTGCTACATCTCTGCAACGGAGATTTTAGGTAGTAATTTGTGGAACTTTGATTAATATTAAATGTGTATTTTATTATAAGAGGGAACAATAAATTGTATTTTACTTAAGATGGCACTTGAGTCAATTTGGTTATTTACAAGTTGTCTCCTATTAGATAATGAAATAAGTTTTAAATCTTTTTTTATGGCATAGACATTTTGCGAACTATGGTAGAATTTTTTATCAACATACACTGCAAATTTATTTTTTAAAGTTTTGCAATCTATGTAAATATTATATTGAGGATTCCAAATTACGGTACCGAAATTAAGTAAACTGTTGACATATTCCATATACCCAGACAGCACACGACGTTTTAAAGACGTCTTTATAAAGACGTCTTTTAGGACACATAAATAGACGTCTTAAAGACGTCTTTTAAATGCCTATCCATTTAAAAAATATAAAAAATAATGGTAACATTAAAAAAAGTACTGGCTTACTTGTCGTTTCTAATTTCACAAAATATAAATTTATTTTTAATTTTTTTTTTTATTAATTTACTTATTTTTTTTATTTATGTACGAGCATTTGTTCATTAGAGTAAGTAAATATTTGACAACATAAAAATAATAATAATAATAATAAATATAACTCTAAATAAAATTAACAATAATTAAAACATAAGACAAATTGAATGCGCTGGTTCAGTGATGATGTAATTATGGTTCCACTGACAATTAAAGTGACAGTAATTTTTTGAGTGCGTTTTGTTTGTTGTGTTTACCTAAATTATATCGTTTTTTCACTTGTATAAATATATTCCTAAAGTAAGTAGATAACATGCATCAAATATACAATCGTTTAGTTACCAATTTACATACCTTTCAACTATTTTTATGACCTGTAAACAATATTTAGAAATAAACAGTAAGAACGTATATGTCAAATTTATTGATGTTTTTGTTAAAAGTTTGGTTAGAATTAAATGTCAGTGGAACCAAAATGACATCACACTGAACTAGCGCATTACGCGCTCTTTCAACTTGATCGGAACTTGGTTCAACGATCGAAGCGATTGTTTTTATTCTGCTTTGTCTTATTTCAACAGTAGAATTTAAACAAGGACGTGTATCTGAATGTGAGTATTATTGGGGTTCCGTGGTTCGTGGCGTTCTGCGTTGTCCTTTCATTGTCATTTGTCGTTGATGTTGAAGATGAAAGCCGAGAGGTTAGTTTTTGTTCATTATTCGTTGATTTTTTTATTTGTGTCTTGTGCCGTGGATTACTGTGAATTTATAAACATAAAAGTTTACTGCATATACTGAAAAACCAAATAGAAGAACCCTTATTAGTGTTTTAAGTACGTCTAGGCGTCTAGGAGTTGACTTAGAAGCTTCATCGGATGTAAATATATCTGAATTAGAGTTGAAAGTACAGGAAGATTGCCATTCTTTGACCACCCTTAACCCACACTATTTACTGAAAATCCTATTAAAGCGAATTTGACAGAGTGAGCTATAATGCATAATATTTTACACAGCGCAGTTAAAATTATTGCAACCCAGACTGGCTCAGAAGAGCATCAGACAAAAGATTAAAAATTAAAAATTGTATTATTACTTTTTTTAACGAAATGTTTCAGTGTTTTATTAATAATAATATTTATAGAAAATATGTGTTTTATTTTGTATAAAAGGAATTTACAGCAGCTTTTAAAACTAAATCCGAGAGTACGTCTTACCAATGTCGAAAAACAGACATATTCAAGATGTCTTAAGAACGTTACCTTTTGTAACATCAGATGTCTTAAAGATGTCTTTTAAGACGTCTGGCCGGCGTCTTAAAAC